AGAGGCCACAGAGCAGGCCCAGGACCCAGGACGGGCACCTCTGCTGTGGTGAGGCCTGCAGGCTCCGAAAGGTTGGGGTGCCCGGCCGCATCAGCAGTACCAGGCCACCCCTGCCGTCTGAGGCCCGGGCTTGCTTTCTCTAATATTGTTGCTGGGTGCTAAGGTTACAACAGCAAACAAGACTGACTCATTCCTTTCCTCATGGAACTTACTGTCTTATCATCCCCTGGACTCAAGATGAGGGTGCTGGGGTGCCCTCCCACACCACCCCAGCTTACCCAGGGCACACCTCAGGGTGTGTGGACCTGCACAAAGATTCCCTTCTCAGCCCCATGAGACACCCCAGGGGACACACAGGTCCACAGATCCTGCCACAGGCCTGGGAACCCACTGACAGGAGAGTAAGACAGCGCAGGGGTCCACAAACATTTCTTAAAGGGCCACAGAGTAAATACTTCAGGCTTTGTGGGCCACAGGTTCTGTGTTCTGCTGTTGTAGTTCAAAGGCGGCTGCAGACAACTCAGAAGGGAATGAGTGTGCTGTGTCCCAGTGAAACTTGATTTACAAAAGCAGGAGACTGGCCTGTGGCCTTAGTTTGCCAACCCGTGGATGAGTGGGTTCCCAGGTCTTCAGGGAGAAGGGGAGAGCCCAGGGCAGTGGCAAGCAGGAGAGAAGGCAGCTGAGGATGGGAGACCTACCGGGCCCTGAACGGAGAGTGCGTGCGGCCCAGCTTCATGAAGAGCCGGTGCTGCAGATCCAGAGGTGTCTCTTTAAAGAAAGATGCCGGCTTGTCGTAGACAGTCACAGCCCTGCAATGAAATCATGGCGGGGCTACTGGGAGGGCTAAAGAAAGGCCTCAGGAATAGAGGACTCAGATGCTCCAGGAAAAGAAAGATGCTTGGGGAATCCAAGTCTCAGACGATGACAAGAAGCCTTGCAATTACTTGGGAATGCACAGAGACGTCCTAGGACCAAAACTGCCTGGACCCCCTGGCTGGCTGGGAAAGAAACTCTGCCCCTTCCTTCTCTGGCTTCCCCAAACCAGGGACCACCTCCCAGGCCCTCAGTATTTCAAACTGCCTCGCCAGCACGGCCACAGCAGGCAAGGCAGCTCTCACTGCAGCCAATCAGGGGCCCTGTGCCCCTCCCAGGCCGCCGTAGTCCCAGGCCTTGGTACCTGATGCGCCAGTTCTCCGCCAGGTCTTCCCGCATGGCATTGGTAACGCACAGGTTCAGGTGGGACAGGCGCCCAAAGAACCTCTCGTACCTGAAAAGAGGGATTAGCAGTCAGCAGAGCCCTAGACAGGCCTCCGCTACCACCACCACGTGACTCGACATCCCTCAACGGAGAAAAGGCCGCAGAGCTGGGAGAGTCTGTACTCCCTGAGTCCCCCCTGTGCCAGTGCTCTTTCTTTATGCTGTATACACCTTTCTTTATGTTGTGTCATTTGTTGGCTTAAATACAATCACTTTGAAAGGAAACTGCGCTCCAGCCTGGGCAGCAGAGCAAGACTCTGCCTCAAATAAATACATACAAACTGAAAAAATCAATAAAAGGACACTGTGTATCACTGCCAAAGTGGACATCCTCTCTCTTGCTGTAAAAGGCCTCACTAGTGGGTCTCAGCCACCCTGTGCTACCACTGCAAAGGCTGTAAGGCTACGGCTTGCTCTCAACGTGGGGCAAAGGGATTCAGTGAACGCTGTACACATTCTCTCCTAATGGAGACAGCCCTGATCGCAGGGGAGAGCCGGAACAGGGCATGAGCGGTATCACCACCAGGGTATCATGGCCTGTTCCTCTCTCAAGATGCGGAGAAAGCTCAGAAATGGGGTTGCCTAGGACGACATTTTGGTCCTTACACTTAGCTGTGTGGCAAGACGTGTAATCGTTCTCAGCCTCAGTTTCCTAACTTGTAAAAGGTACACCCTCCTAAGGTGCATGGAGATTGAACGAGGTAAAATACAAAAAGGTCTTGGCCGGAGGACTGGCATGCAGCAGGTGCTCACCATGAAGCATTTTGCTCAGTTTGCTCAATTGAGCTGTTTGCTGCTGCTGTCACCACTGCCAGTGAACAAACTCATCAGGGCAAAGGTCACAGCCAGCCAGTGGCCCAAGGCTGGAAGTACACACAGAGGCTGGACATGCACAGAGGCTGCATGTGCACATGAAGGCTGGCTGTGCAGAGTATAACAGACATGTTATAGTCAGGCTCAGGGTACAGCACACGACCTTCCCAGCTCCACGTCCCACCGCTACCACTGGCCCTTCTTCCCTCCCTGTCTCATCAGCTACAGCAACTGTGGCCCACTTCTCCAGCTCCCAACAGCAGCCCTGGGTTTCAATTTGGGAATCTGCTCTCACACACCCTCTGTCCATGGGATATGGATGCTCCTGAGACCCAGCTCTTCTACTGGAGCACTTGCCCCCTGGCCTCAATAGGCAGATCAGAGGAAGGCAGGTAACCGACATGAGCCGATCAGAGAGGGCTGCCCTCCCCACTGAGCCTAGGTGGGGACGAGAGCTAGGAGAGCTCTGGGAACCACCACCAGAAGGGAGTGTGGAGACAGACATGAGCTGGGTCCCAGGGACACTGCTGAGCTCGAAACCAATCCTTTCCCCAGACACTTCCATTTCATGGGCCAAAAAATGTGGTCCTTTGCTGAGGCCTGTTTCTATCACTTGGAACCAGCATTTGGCCTGATTCACCAGCTTCACCCCGCCTCCTGCAGAGCACACAAGGAACCAGCTTCCGGAGGCCCACAATGGCCCTTCTTCTCACTCATCCTTGAGTGGTTTGGGGGATGGTATTTTACCCTCTTCCCAGATTCTCACCACTTGGCCAGCAGAACGAGGGGGTGGCTGGGGCCATGCACCAGACCCATGATGGAGTAGCCATAGTTGTGCCAGTCAATGACGAGCTTGCTTCCACAAAGGCAGCCCACGAACCAGCACACAGCAATGCTAGGCAGACCTGGGGGGTTCTAGGAAAGACACAGACTTGAAGAGGAGGAAACCCAAACCATGCTCGGCAATAAACCAAGTAAAAATAGTCACAACACACATGGTGATGAGTCTATTACTTTTACAGCGCTCTTGATAATAAGCAGAAGAAAGACCCTCCCACCACCAAAACAGGTGTAAAAAGTCATAAAAGAAACACAATGGGCCAGGTGCGGTGGCTGATGCCTGTAATCGCAACTCTTTGGGAGGCCAGGGCATGACGATCATATGAGCCCAGGAGTTCAAGACCGGCCTAGGAAACACAGTGAGACCTCATCTCTACAAAAAATTTAAAAATTAGCCAGGTGTGGTGGGACACGCCTGTAGCCCCAACTACTCAGAAGGCTGAGGAGGTAGGATCACTTGAGCCCAGGAGGATGAGGCTACAGTTAAGCTATGATTGTGCCACAGCACTCCAGCCTGGGCGACAGAGCTAGACTCTGTCTCTAAAACAAACAAACAAA